TCTTTAAGTTTATTTTGCTTGTTGGGTAGTTATTATATCTTATCACATCCCACACCACACCAATATCAAACCTATGTAACTGTAAACTAGCATTAAATATTCTTAGAAGTTTTAAATATTTTAAGGAAAATGAAAGAGGCAAAATGGAGTTATCACTTATACCTTAGTATCTCCCTCTCCAGAAAAAAAAATTCGAATAAAAAACCGCTCAAGAGTGAAACTAAAATTTTCTTCATAAAAATACGAGTACATATCGAAGGATAAGATATGTATGCACATATATTCAATACGACCTATCTGCAATTTTCACAGAAATGAGATACAGATTTTAAAATCCACCTAAGATTCAACTGGCATCGATGGTTGTTGTTGTTGTTGTTGTAGCGGCTACAACAACCCCGCCCAGATCGGTTGGTATCTCAGTCGTTGTCGTCAAGTTCCACTAACGGCAACCCTAGGAAGCGTGCAGCTTCTGCGGGGTTTGCCCATAAGGACAAGGTCGTTAGGGATGTCGGGTTTGCCGGGCATGCGAAGAGATGTTTCGAGTCATGTGGGGTCTCTCCGCATGCCGGACATTCATTAGGCACATCCTCATTCAGCCTACTCAGGTAGGAGTTTAACCTGCTGCAGTAGCCGGAGCGAAGTTGTGCAAGTGTGGTGCGCGTCTCCCGAGGCAGATGAAGCTCCGTCTCGTCAATGTCCGGGGGTGGTGTGCCTAGAACGGCATTCACAGGTCTAGAGTCTACATAACTCGAGACTGAGTCCCTGTGAATGCCGCTCAAGGCCTGTCTGTAGGCTGTCGGGTCCAGAGGTTGCTTGATGAACCTCTGGACTTCGTCCGTTAGTTCATATAGATGCCTCCTGACGTGCCTAGGCGAGGGCTCCTCTGCAAGCAGCTGTCTGCACGGGTGGCCACTTCTGTGGGTCCCGATCAGGAACTGCTTGCAGAGCATTATATTGTGCTCCTTTACCGGGAGCATTTGCGCCTCGCCGTGCAGGTGGTGTTCAGGCGTCATCAGGAGGCATCCCGTCGCTGTCCTCAGTGCGGTGTTTTGTGCGGTCTGTAGCTTCGTCCACTGCGTCCTACTAGTCCCAGGCGACCACACTGGCGCTGCGTAGTTCAAAACCGGCCGGCCTATTGCCTTGTATGTTGCCAGCAACGTTTCTTTGTCTTTGCCCCAAGTACTGCCGGCTAGCGACTTGAGGACCTTGTTGCGGCTCTGTACTTTATTGACAATAGCGGTTGAGTGCGCAGAGAAGGAGAGCAGGCTGTCGAAAGTTACTCCGAGTATTTTGGGGTTATTCACCGTCGGAATTGGTGTGTCATCGACGTGAATCCCCAGCGGTAGCCTGACCTCCTTCGTCCAGGTTGTGAAGAGGGTCGCGGAGGATTTCGTAGGGGAGAGGGCTAGACACTTTGCAGTGAAGAAGCGAGAAAGTTCGGAGAGATAGCCGTTTACTTTCGAACACAGGTCATCAATTCCATTCCCAGTCGCCATAATCGAGCAATCGTCGGCATAGGAGACAATCGAGACTCCCTCTGGTGGTTGAGGGAGCTTTGAAATGTAAAAGTTAAACAGTAGCGGGGAAAGGACACCACCCTGAGGAACCCCCTGTTTTATTTTTCGCTGCTTACTCGTTTTGTCTCTAAATGTTACCGACGAATGTCGACCACTTAGATAATTTGCCGACCACCGTTTGAGCCTCTGTGGGAGAGAGGAGGCCTCTATATCTTCTAGTAGCGTGGAATGGCAGACGGTGTCAAACGCCTTTGACAAGTCCAACGCTACTAGAATCGTTCTCTCACAGGGACGGTTACGGTTAAGGCCACGAGTTATCTGAGTGTTTATGGCGTTAAGTGCTGTTGTTGTGCTGTGCACTTTACGGAAACCATGCTGATGCTTCGCTGGGGTCAGGTGATTTGTAAAGTACGGGAGTAGCAAGGCCTCGAGTGTCTTCGCTACCGGGGAAAGGAGTGTAATCGGACGATACGAATCTCCTTTGTTTGCAGGTTTCCCCGGTTTGAGCAGTGGGACCACTCTCCCCACCTTCCAGATGTCTGGGATGATGAGAGTGGCCATTGACAAATTGAGGACCTCCGTTAGGTACGCTACCCCCGCAGGACCCAAATTTTTCAGCATCAGCATGCATATACCGTCGGGACCCATGGCTTTGGAGGCTTTCGCCTTCCCGATGGCCACCTGAACTTCACCGCAAGTGAAAGCAAGGGGGGCACAATTTGTTGGCAGTTTGTGCAGCCTTCTGGTCACTCGACGCTTGGCTTTGTCCACCGGAGGATGTAGTATGAACTGCCGGCTAAAATAGCTCGCGCATCGCTCCGGGTCCGACGAAGCATGGTCGCCGAAGGAAATTTCGACTCTGTCGTCGTGCTTCGTCGGATTAGACAATGACCTCACGGTTGACCAAAGCTTGCTCACACCAGAGGTGAAGTTGCAAGTCTTCAGATGCTCCTCCCACTTCTTCCGCTTATGTACGTTTACAAGTTGCCGAATCTCCGCGTTGAGATCCCTGATACGGGGATCTCCGGGATCGGCCTGACGAAGGCTATCACGCTCATTTGCTAAAACAGCCGCTTCGGCAGGGAAGTTTGGACGTGGGTCCGATATGCACCCTGCCGGTATGAAGCGGGCTGCAGCAGCAGTGATAGCCCTGCGGAACTTACGTTCACCGAGGTGGACGTCGGTTGGTGTGGGGAGCGATGTGAAGGTGTTTTCAGTAAACTCCGCGTAACCTTTCCAGTCAGCTTTAGAAAAGTTGACATAGGTCCGGTGTTTGGCGGAGGCAAAGTCGGTTGGTTTGTCAATCGAGATGACTATGGGTAGATGGTCTGATGCTAGAGTCAGCATAGGTCGCCACGTTATGCTGTTTATCAGACCAGCGCTGACTATTGTGATGTCTGGCGAGCTACTGCAGTTACCCATAATCCTGGTGGGTGCGTCGTCGTTCATTGTGCAGAATGTCGAATCGTCTATCTGCTCAGCCAAGTCTGTTCCCCTACGATCGTTTGACAGGCTTGAGTGCCAAAGATCGTGGTGCGCATTGAAGTCACCTACTACCATACGGTTTTCACCTCTGAGGAGCGCACCTATATCAGGGTGATATCCTGCCGGGCAGCAGGTGACAGGGGGGTATGTATATATTAAATATTTCGAGCTCGACACCGCCTGACCGGATAGCAATGCCCTGACATTCTAGGGTGGTATCCCTG